TGGACATGTACATGTAATTTTCTTGCAAACAATATCATCATTGTTAGCAAAGCCATATTTATAAAAATAAAACTTTTTATTATGGCCGTAGTATATTGTTGCATGCGCACAGGTTCGTAATGGATAGAATGCATACAGAACTGATGACAGCTTGTAGAATATTTTTTCCCAAATGAAATACTTTACTTTTCTGGAACTTTTCATAAAAATACTTGTACAGATGTTCTCAGTATAACAGAGCACAATCAGCAGTTACCACTTCGAACTATTAAGAAGGTTAAATACAATACAATGCAATGTGAAGTGCATCTAAAGAGCAAAGCTTACCACGGAGGTACTAAAAGCTAAGAACTGATGCTCTCTCCGTAACTTCCATTTCTCAAAATTACGTGCATTAGTGCGCACAGATTATCCAGCTCGTATTTCACTTCAACTCTGGAACAACATCGGCAGCTTCCTGGGCAAGAGACAGGGCGTCGACATTACTGTGTGAAGATCCCTTTCTATGACATACAGTTATGTCACATTCTTGGAGTCTCTACATCCATCTGGCTACTTGACCTTTTGGATTTTCAAAATTTAATAGCAAGGTCAACGATGCATGATCTGTACAAAGGTGGAATATACTAGGGCTTTAACTATGGTGAGGAGCTCTTTTCTGGTGACACAGTAATTCCTCTCTGTTTAGATAGACACTTTCTTTCAATTTTCTTTGCTGCGACACGTTCTTGACCGTTTATTTCTTGTAACAAAACAGCACCGAGGCTCTCATTGCTTGCATCCTGTGTCAAGCTGAGGATACGTTAGTACTGTAGCAGATGTTAAGCCTCCTTCAATCTGCTAAATGCATCCTCACATTCAAGAACAGAACATTCCCAAGAGCTTTGCTTGCTCGCTGTCAGTTTGTGAAGGGGTTTTGGGATAGAAAAGTCCTTCACAAACTCCTATAGTATAAACAAAGCCTCAAAAAACTTCTCAGCTGATGGACATTTTCGGGGTGTCTCCAATCTTTTACTGCTGACACTTTGCCTGGATCCATACACACACTTTTGGCAGTGATGACATGTCCAGGGTAAGTCACCTCCTGTCAGAACAACTTATATTTGGCAGGACTTAACTTTAGAACGGCTCCTTTCAGTTTCTGAAGCACCTTTCTAAGATTTTCAAAACTCTTCAAAACTTTTCCTGACGATGATGTTGCCATCATTGTATGTTAGATAGGTTTCGTTGGAAAGACCTCTCAGCTTGGTCTCCATTGGGCATTTGAACGTGACAGGTGCACTACATAATCCAGATGCCATCACCTTGAACTGACAAAGCTCTTGTCCGGTAGTAAATGCCGTCTTTGTCGTACATCTTAGGCTCTTCGAAGATATAGACTTTAGACGGCTACTGGTTCGTTTAACGCAGGTCACTGGAGAACATATAGCAAGCACTTCGCTTTTCCTAATATCTTCCTCCTTATCTCTTATGTCGGCAAATTTCTCCCAGATGACGGTCTTCGTTAGGTTGACGAGTGCACAGGCTTCAGTACTCCTTTGAGGTCGTTACAGTTCTTAGGATAGTCTATTCTGCCGTACCGAAAATTTTTGTTTTCAGCTATGGATCCGGGAAGTAAAAATTTTTTTCTTGCTGGTATCATGATGTCTTCTTGAACTATGATTTGGTGGATGGATTTAAATCATTCATCTTCGAACAGGGTTTATGTCCTCAGAATTTTAGCAATATCAAAGTATCTTACATATGTATGGAATAGTATTAATAATAATGTTTATACATACCTAACCTAATTAAGAATTCTGAGGCTGCCTAAATAAAAGATAATGCTGTAGAGAGAGGGAAAAAGTCAATTAATATTACTGGGTCCAACCAGGGATGTTGCTAGGGGCGAGAAAGGGGGGACATCTGTCTTCGGGCACAGCATCCGGGGGGGGGGGCACAAAATTGATGTTAGGAAATTTTAAAATGAAATGTTTACCATTCTTGGCAGACAAAAGGGGGGGCTTGAAATCTTCAGTTATACCCGGGTGCTGAAGACCCTAGCTACGGCTCTGGGTCCAATTCTCTTAAAGGCTCACGTTAAGCCCTTCCTCCACTCTTTTTTAGTTAAAATCTTGAATTTAACTTGTATATAAAGTTCATAAGTTTAAATAATTAACTTAGCATTTAATTAACTTGGATAACAGAAACCATTTTAACAAAAGTTTTCACATAACAAAGTTAATTTTTATAGTGAAGTATACCCAAAGCCTTTGAGCTATCAATTTTTTTCTCTATTATTTGTTAAAAGAGTGCTTCTTTAATTTTGGGCAGTTAGACGTCACTTTCTAACAAATAATTACTCATCAAGTTGATTTTCTTATAGTATTGTTGAGCACAACTATGGCTCACAAATTCTTTCAATATTACTGCAATGAGGGTAAGAAAAAGGAGGTTCTGTTATGAGGACTTCTTGACATTTTGTGATAACTGAATTATATTTTCAACATAATTAAATTTTATATATGCACTGTGATCTTCATTATGTCTTAAATTTATATCTTAAACATGTGAAACTTTCTCAAATCAATCCCTCTATTATTCAGTTTTTATGGGGGGGAGTAAAAATATAATTTTGCTCACAGATTCTTCAGATAACACTAAAGTTGCTTTGCCTTAATGAATTAATCTAATCTAACCAATGCTGATGAAGGTGCAATGACAGTAAACAACTCGATATTTATATCGTATTCTTCCACTAATTTCTAATTTTGAAAAAAATATGCATACCATCAAATGGGTATAGCAACCTATGCTTTCTGAGGATTATTACAATAAAGCACATATTTTAGGTTACCTATGATTTCCTTTAAATGAAAGTTAAATCTAGAACTTCTACAGCATTGAAGCCATACAGGCTTTACAAATGAAATTTCAATATTAGCTAGCTCTTTCCTAGTTTTCTTTCTCCTAACCAAAGCCTACGAACCTCTGAAATACTGGAAGGGGAAAAAAATTCAACTTTGGTTGATTCGGTTCCACTGATCTTCTTAATAATAATAATCCTCTATATGGGCACCTTACGCAGTTTCTACAAGTGATTAATCTCACAATCTCCTAAATCCCACAATTTAGATAAATCAAATTCAGAACCATCTTCTTTTCACGCAGCAGTCTTCTAGTGCAAGAGTGTTCATTTAACTGGAAAATCACATTTGAATGCATTGGTTCTAATTTAAAAAAAAAAAAAAAAAAAAAAAAAAAAAAAAAAAAAACAATTTGAGCATATCAGGATAATGATCTGATGAAACTACTTCTTAAGTGAGAAATAATAGGCCAAATATGTAATCATATGAAAATTCCAACACGGTGCATTACTATCTTTCAGCACCATGCTTGAATAAAAGTTTATCGACAAGGAAGACAACATGCATGTCAAAGCTGTTCAAGTTGCTGAATGCAATTAATGACAAGGCATAAGTTAGCAGAACTTTTTGGCCATTAAGACCTTATGATCTGCTATTCAATGAACAGCCTATGGGCTAAAAATCCCTTGTTACCCGAAATCTAATTAGCATTCTCAGTTAGTTTTTAGTTTTGTATCAACAGTATTATCTGTAGCAGAAGTGCTTGTTTAACTTGGATAACAGCCAAATCATTTCAATAAGATGCCCCTGAAACAGCAGTGCTATTTAAAGTCATAGTATAATTATTAATTATGTAAATGAAAATCGCTCACATTATACAATAGAAAAAAAAATTATTTTAAAGCCCATTTCATATTTACAGCTACCCTCAGCAGCACATCGAAAGGAACATTTCCCAGAATTTTTATTTTGGGGATATCTGATCAGTTGACTTATGTGGTAACCAGTTCTTTGGAGAAACAGATGAGACACAACATTACAAATGAAACATTTTTAGATGCTTCAAAAAATCTCATGTACCTAGGCAGGATACAGAACACGTTTTGGCTAAGAACCCTCCAATAGCAGGTAATGGACTAGCTTGTTTTTTGAAAAAATTTCATCTATCCTCATGCATTGTTATATGTGATACCCCTTTGTTATCGAAGATGGAACAGAACAGGTGGTATTTCAAATCACGAACAAGATGCATAATGGTTAGGCTTTAGTGATACGATAGGGTTTTAATAGTTATTTTTATTTCATTGCAGCATTAAATGATATGCAGTGAATAACATTAAAAGCATTTTCAAATGTGGACAAGAGCCCAGTAGGTCTCAAATATTATGCACTTCATCTTCTTTAATATGAGTTTAATCCAGATACAAACCTAGTTAAATGCCTGTACTCATAGCCAATTACCAGCATAAACACTTAATAGTGGGCACATAATCATCAACACTGGAAATGTATAGTTAGAACGAGGGGGGAATGTGTCTTTCTTTCAATGATACAGCTGGCAGAAAAATAATTTAAACAGTTGTTAGCTTGAAATAAATGGATGCGTGATAGCATCTTTATTTATGAGGATTATGATGCAATATTTTCTAAACCAGGATTTGGACACATTATTCTTATAAAATGTATTCTGACACTTCACATCTAACAAAACATAACAGATGAGCAAATACACCTTTCTAGTAGCAGTATTTCTTTCCTATTCAATGATATCCTTACAGTCAATTAGCAGTTTCAAAAGATTTTTCATATTGAAATGACTCTGAATACCTTGCATCAAAATCTGGTTTTTTAACCATCAAACCTAGTATCACCACCATACATAGAAAATAATGTTTCGGGATTTTCTATGTATATGGTATTTATTTATTTCTATGTATGGTATGTTTAGCAGAATATTTAAAATTGTTCATATTAATGTAACAATTCAAAAACTTGTAAGAAAAACAAACACACTACATGCTTATTTTCATACCATATGTTTAGCTTTATATGTTAATTTGCATAACAAAAGCTGCAGAAGACATCATAAATAAATTTCTTCTTAAGTAAGGGGGAAAAGTGCTATATTGAAATAGAAAGAAAAAAAAGAAGGACTGTAAATACTGGTAATATATTTCATATAACAGTCAATTTAAACAAATTTAATATTGATGAATATATACTTCTAAGTTTACAAAAGAAATCATTACAACAATTAATAATGTATTATATACAAACACCACAAATAGTGTGGTTGAATGGCAATGCAGTTCCAAAGTTACACATCAAAGTTTTAATCATGCTTTCTTGTATTCAATTCTCTCCACCTTCACATCGTCGCCAACAAGCTGATACACATATGTCACCACTGTAGCTGACTGGATGTCCATTAAGACAAAGGATGGAATGACAGCACTAAAATTAAAAAATAATAGAATATATTCTGAAATACACCAAAAAAGAAAGGCAGAGTTTCTTAGACATGAAAGGTATGCATAAATCTCAGCAACTATATCCATTAATAACTTTAGATGAATAAATGGCAAAAATAATTTCACTTTACAATACATAATCAACTTTAAATGCAAAAGTCTACTACTGGAACTTAATTATTCACAATTTCATTATATTTAAACAGTTTTTGTCAGGGCTCAAAACCTTTTTGAATAAGTTTGAATGTTCGTTTCGTAGATTTGGTTCTTTTTTTCCATCTGAAAATAGCCCTCAACATCTGTTTGCACAAATAATTTACACTGTCTAAACTGGTTGAACTTAAGACTTTTTTTTTTTTTTTTTTCAATCTTTGCCAAACATCGATACTTTTAAAAAGAGCAGATTCAGATACAAAATTCTGCAGTCTTTCTTTCAGCTTTTTGATCGTAAAAGATACAGTACCAAATCCTCCAACATGATACATTTCTTTTCACCTTATTCTAGTTTATATTAATAACATCCAATTTTTGGTGAGTTCTAAAGTCACATGTTTCCACTTTATTACCTTTTCAATATTTTGATCAAGTTTTGAGAATATCTTGGACAAATAAGTACAACGATAAGTATGAAGATACAACACCGATAAATATTTAAGTTTTAATTGTTTGAAATGCATTTAGATGGCATTTTTGAGAAATAACAGACCTTATTTATTATAAAACCGTAGAAGACGAAATTTAGAAATTCAAATCATGATTTAAAGGTCAATTCACTGATCCAGGTTTATGAATTTTCTTATGGTTATGAGATAACCATAAGCAATAACATTTATCTCAAAATGATTGATGATACAATACACGAATGTATATATATATATATATATATATATATATATATATATTTTTTTTTGTGTGTGTGTGTGTGTGAAGTGACCTTTCAGTCAACTGAGACTGTTATTTTGCATTTTTTTATTAAAATGGGCATGGAATGGAAATTAAGTTATCCAAGACATACAATGGTTAGCAGATGATATTATCTGAACAATGGGTTGTCAGTGGCATTTGACATAAAATATTTTTTTTAAAGTTAAAAACAAAGTTGTGAAACATTTACTGAAGATAATTGCAGACAACAGGTGCAAGATTTTAATAAAATTTACAGATTGCTAGAGAGAATATTATACTTGACACAACCATGGGTAAAGATGCACCTGAAGATGTTTCACTACCAAAAAATTTTTGGTGTCAAACACATTTATCATTGCAATAATGTGAGGCAGGATCACCAATAAGCACCTTTTACTATACATGTATCATTAAATATCATTTGTTGCTATTTATTTATATATCTTGTAATATGTTAATTTTAGCTACTTATCATCATACTCATTCTTTTTTAGCTTTCCAACAGCATTCCTTAAAACAATGCCTCTATTAATTTTAGAAATTAATCTCTGGTAAACTGTATAATTTTAATCACTTGCTTTTCTAAAAGTCTTCAACGATTAATTTTTTAACTTGAAAATTGTTTTAAATATTAACATGTTTATGCTTTTTTAAAATAAATACAGGGTGTTTATAAAGTTCTGGAACCATTTTGATGTTTAATAACTCATAAAATAATGAAGATATAAACAAACTTATGTCATTTATTGATGGAATAACTTATATATTTTCCTTTTCAGGTTTGAATGTCTTTACTTTTGTAAATATCGTCTGTGCGTGTGGTTAATTTCAGATAATTTCATTTTCCAGTCTAAATGTCTGTACATTTCTAAATATTGTATGCTTATTAATTGCATTTTTCTCTTTATTGTTTTTGGCAACTACTTATGTTTGCTTTTGATGTGTTTGTTCTAGCACTTTTGTATGTGATGTTTTATTCGACCAGACATTAAGGAGAATGCATACACTACAACAGAAAGCACAGATTTTATGATGGCTCACAGAAACGAAATCCATAATGCAAACAGAGAAATTGCAGAAGAATTTACCAAAAAGATCCTCCATCCAAATGCAGCATCTTGCGGTAGAAAAAGAATTTTCTAAAAACTGGAAGTATTGCAGATAAGAAATGTTCCGGATGTCCCTACACAAGTGATTTTGATGTTGATCATGTTAGAGAGACATTTTTACACAATCCTATAAGATCTGTAAGATCAGCGGCAAGAGAATTGGATATGCCAATTTTGAGGGTGTACAAGGTTATTAAGAAAAAAATTAAGACTGCATGCATACAAAGTTCAAATTGTTCAAGTTTTGGAACCGGACGACAGGCCTAGGAGGATGGCCTTTGCAACAGATATGCTGAGGCTAGAAGATGATGCTTAATTTCTGAAGCACATAATGTTCTCCAACGAAGCATCCTTTCATCTTTCTGGCATTGTTAATCGCCATGATGTGCGCATATGGGAATCTGAAAACCCCCATGAATAATGTGAGGCACAAAGGGATTCCTCAAAGGTTAATGTGTGGTGTGGACTACTGCACAACCGAGTCATTGGGCCTTTTTTATTTACAGAAAAGACGGTCTCATCAGTCGTATACTTAGACATGTTGGAAAGCTTCGTATTTCCACAACTAGAAGAGCTTCAGCCACATGTCTTTTTGCAACAAGATGGTGCACCACCTCATTGGAGTACCATCGTTCGTAGTTCTTTGAATGACCATTTTACAGGAAGATGGATTGGGCGAGGAGGTCCATTTCCTTGGCCACTCAGATCACCTGATATAATGGCGGTACCTGGCGTGAAATTGAATATCAACTTGATATTCTCCGTGCAACGAAGGGGGCACACGTGGAAGTTCATTGACAAGGGTCATGAAACTTTTTGGGTCTATCTAACCATTTATGTTATTAATTTTAATCTATATTATTTTATGAGTTAATAAACATCAAAATGGGTCCGGGACTTTATAAAACCCTGTATTTTAATGTTACTAGACTGGGGCTAAATCATATTAAAACAAAATCTGATGTAATTTTTATTTATATGATGAATGACTACAAAAAATGACTACATACAAAACAAAACTGCATCTTGTGAAAGTCACTTACCTATCCAGAGGATTATAGGCACCAGTGGCAGAACCCGGATTTATAAAGAATTTGTTTTCATGTTCATAGGCTTCAAATTTGTGTGTATGACCAGATATTAGAATATCCACATCCAACTGCCGCTGTACTAGTGCCAAACTGTCTGGATCACCCCACGGCACAACCTGATGACCATGGCAGAGTCCAATTCGAAACTGACCGACAGTGACCACCTTTTGTTCAGGATAATTGAGATTCTGTCAAAAAAAAAAAAAAAAAAAAGTAGAAACTTTATTCTATCATTTAAAATATTTTCATTGGCATATTCTTTAATTACCCAAATTTCAGTTATTTTACAATCGAAAAGATAATCATAAAACTCACTTTTAAAATTATAAGTTTTAGGTAAGCTGAAATTCATTAATATATTATTGCATGCAGGTGTACCACTAATTATGATTTTATAATTTTTGCACCGGTATGAATTTCTGACAACTCTTGAAAGTCAAATAATAAAATTAAATGCAGCATCCTGAAAATCTTTAATTTTATTTAGCAGCCAGTTTTTTCAAAAGCAGACTGTAAGGTTTAGAATACTTAAACTCTTTATAAAATTATTTTTTTAATTTGTCCTATAAAATTTATTTGATAATGGCTAGAATTTAGTCTCAATATGTGTAAAATAAACTGAACAATCCAACAGAATTTTACAGTTCTATTAGGTTTTATAAATCTTTTATCACTTTAGATTAATTCTCTAAAAATTAAGCTTTTCTTATACCCTCATTAATGTAAAAATTCTGAAAACATTTATGCTGAAGTAGTAGATGTAGTTCTCTTGTTGAAATTAAAGAACATTAATTTATTTTAATATGCATTTAAAGGAAATATAGATAAAGAATATTTGGTTCTTGCTAATTATACATACCTCCTTCTGAATATATTTATGAGGCTATGAATTATGTCGCCAAAATAGGCAACCCATGATGTCCCCAAATGCATTTTTGGCAACCCAAGAATGTGCATGCACACAGAAAATGAGAGCTGATTTCTGCTTTCATATCTGACAGCTGTCTTTCTGATAAATGTTTATTTTTATTGCATTTGAGTACATTTTTTCCTCTCATAAGAAATCATAATAGGACTGCAAAGTTTGCTGGCTTACAAAAAGAAAGTATTGAATTTCTTCAGAAATACAGCCTTTTTCCCACCAATTCAGAAAGGAAAAATTCAAATTCCATGAAGCTGTACTTTTTAAACAAGTAAATTTTATAGATTGACATTTGTGCAATTCTCCAATGATTTTTGAAGCAACAGATTGCTGGGGAGGACAAGTAAGTGTTTAAATGTAAGTAAAAAACAGTGTTTTATTAAGGATTTTCTTGTATTTTTAAATTTTGTTAATTAGTTGTTGTTTTATGTAATTCTTTGTGCACTGCCATTTTTGAAAATGGCTTACATCTTTTGTGCCTTAGCTTGGAGAAAAATTAGCCACCAGTAGTTGGTGACTTTTCAGAAACGGGTTACAGATAAACAGAAAATACTGAATATTTAATGATTTATAATACAGACATGAAAAAAATTTTCAGTTAAGCATGATAATACTTCAGCATAAAAATCGTAACAAGTTCAAATATCAAGCTATTAACATCAGTGGCAGATCTCTTAATTTATGGCATGAATTTTAACTTAATTTATGGCATTTCAAAAACTTACACAAGAAACATTAAACTTTTCAATTTTTTTTTTTTTAACAGCACATTTAATACAGCATTTCTTCTGATAACCATATTGGTATCTTAGTAGCTTATATCATCATAAGAGCTTTAAAAAATTATTTGTATAAGCAATATCCTATTATATTCCAGAGCTTATGGGAAAAAAAAAGTGGGCACATATTATGTACACATGTGTGCAATTCTCTTCATGTTACCTTATTTTTAAAACTTTCTTATATTTGGTCAGCAAAATCGTATGAAATGTAATTTCATTTGGTCCAAGGTATATATGTCTATAACTTCATTAACATTATACATGAAATTTAATAAAATTACAATTATGCTCTCTTTATTTTAAAAATGGGATACAAAGTTCCAACCCCCCCATGATGGAGGGAGACTTGTTGGTTTGTTTAATAACACATTTAACATCATAAATACTTCTGTTTAAAAACACAATCCCCATCTACTACGAGAGTAAGAAATAAATAAACATTCAGATATTTTAAACCTTACATTCTGCTATGAAAAATCAGATTAATAACATGAGGTAACTAAAAATTTGTAGAATAGTACTCTTAATTACAAATTTAATTCTTAATTTTATGACAAAATATATACCACTGCAAAATTAAAAAATGATAATGAAAAATACAAACACCACCCTGCTATAATCCTCCCTAATTATCTAAGTATGACAGTTTTAAAACATAATAATGTAGGCAAATAATTTTTCATTTAGAATACAGTACTTAAAACACAACAACAGATCTCTGATCAATAAATTATGCTATACATCAGATGCTAATTTTAGAAGTTTTGTAAAACCAGTCATTCAATGAAACGATCTACTAATTTGGGATATTTTTAACTAAAAGCTAGATTATGACATGATGCTTACTCTGATCCCCATACCAGTGAAAACATCCTTTAACTTCATATAAATACAATATCTATGCAACGAGTTCAGAACATTAATACAACAAATTTTTAAACACATTAATAAATACAAAAAAATGTAAAAAAGAAATAAATGCATTAAAGGAAGCATATCCATTAATCAGTCATCACGGCTGGCATCAATGCCATTGCTACCCAACCATGCAGCACAGTTTAAGCACATTTATAGAATTTAGAGAGGTACCAGGCAACAGAATTTTGGAATTACAGTGATTGCACAAGGCATCAAAAATCCTAATGCCAACTCTGTCTGTTATTTCAATGCGAAGCTAAAAATAAATTTACAATTTTTAAACTGAAGGTTGTATAAAAACTGAATAATTTTTATTCAAAGCTAACTAGTGGCATATAACATACATAACGTATAACTAACGCTTTTATTTATACATAAATTATAGATGATTTCTTAAAGTGCTTATACCTTACAAAGTTCTAATTGACTATTTTTTTTAACTACTGCAAATTCATGGCTTTTTCAAATTTGTTTTTATCATATATGTTAGAATTTATTTTAAGAGGTACAGTAAAAAGTTTGAAATCTGGACCACCAGACAAAGGATAGAATAAGGATAAAATATCTTCCCCTTACAAAGTTTAGCAATAGACAGTATAATACTAAACAAAAGAAAGCAGGTGTGAAGTAAATGCAACTAACTGCAGTTCTTGCGTATCCCTTTCAAACACTTGCTCGCAACGGAGTGACACATGGTGGTCAATGACAATATTGACTGACGTAATGATGTTGGCCAGAGTCACATTTTTGGCCCTTGAGTGGTTGTGAGAAGAGTTAGCATTTTTCTATTTGACCTGAACAATAAGTAAAGACCCAATGTTCTCATGTCTACCAGTCATCTTACATACTAGATTTAAACTGATGATCCAAATTCTGCAAATTTAAAAAATCTGGAGTCGCTAAAGTTCCTAGAGATTCTGGATCTCAGACTTTGTACGGCATTTCTTTATTCAACCACTTATGGGGTTTTTAAATCAATTCCAGTTCTCAAATTTATTACTTAATGTGTTCCAAATCTGATACTTAAGAAATTATATCTTTACTGAAATATGCAACAGAAAAAATATCGTCGATCAAAAGGGCTCGCTAATGAAAATGTTAAGAAATCTAGCACAGTATTTTTCATTACAGATTGAGTGAATGTATATTATATAGCCATAAACACTATCATACATTACTATGTATGAAAAAGCTTTATGGCTATGATGTACGTGTGAGTAACACGTGCATACGAAAATATCCCTAACATTAACTAGGAAAGCCAAAATCTTAGTTAAGATAGACATGTTACAATTAATAATCAAATTTAATAAGGAAAAGTAACAGTTGCCGGGTACATTATAACGGCTTAAGAAATTCAGAGCACAGTACAGATGCGAGTACACAAGTTCACATATCTTGGCGAAGCAGAGACGCACACATTTGTTGAAGTAGTTCCACTTGACTGCCAGGGAAAATTCTTCTCTTCCCGTCAGCCTGTAGGTTTGCCAAACGGGTTTACTGTTTCGCCAATTGGCGCTTTTCTGTACAGTTTTTAAGTCCGTATCGCCTGTTTGGCGCTGCAGCTGCATACTCCCTCCGCAGTGTCAACGAAATGTGACATACCGATGCGGGTGTCGGATTAATTGTCCAGAACGGGTGATACAAATGTCCGAAGTTTTTTTCACACTCTTGGAAGCAACTTGAGAAGAGTCCATGGTTACAAAAGCGGGTTTCAGTCTATCTATGGAGATCGTTTGCTTAGTCCCGTTTATTTCGAGATCAAACGTTTTATCTTGTCTTTCTAGCACCTTAAATGGTCCATCATAAGGAGTTTGAAGTGGTTTTCTAACTCCTTCGTGTCGAACAAACACACATATGTGGACTTGTGAAGGCGTGGATGAATGAAACATGTTTGCTGGCCGGGGCTAGAAGTCGTGGTCGGGCGGACACTGGCAAAGTGAGATTTTAAATCCTCCACAAACTGTTTAGGACGCATCCGGAGGTGTCGGATTGAAAAATTCTCCTGGGAGACGGATAGTCTTTCCATACACCAGTTCAGAAGTGGTTGCTCCTATGTCCTCTTTGAGAGCGGCGCGGAAACCCATCAGCAGCGTTGGAAGGGCAGCCACCCAGTCACTGGTATCGTGCGCTTTTAAGGCAGCTTTCAAAGGACGGTGGAATTCCTCGATCAGTCCATTCGCCTGTGGGTGGTACGGAGACGTCCTGATTCTCTTGATTCCCAATAATTGGGAAAGGGCTCGAAATAAGCCGCTTTCAAACTGTCGCCCTTGGTCGGTAGTAATAACAGTCGGACAACCAAATCGAGTAATCCAGTGGTTCATAGAAAGCCTGTGCTACTGTGCGTGCTGTTATGTCTGGTATGGGTACTGCTTCGGGCCATCTAGTAAATCTATCTATCATAGTTAGACAGTAATAATTATTTTGAGAAAGGAGGTAGGGGACCAACAAGGTCAAGGTGGACGTGATCAAACCTCTGTGATTGGTCTGGAAACTTCATTAACAGGGTTCTAGTATGCCTGCTTACTTTTGCTTTCTGGCACGGAATGCACTGCCGTGCCCATTT